TGCATTTTTCTATTATTATTTTTGTTCTTTTTTTTTTTTTTGTCAAATTTGATGTATAAATGGATTTCTTTCCTACACTTTCATGACTTTCAAGGGTAAATTTTTAAGCATCTCCAGTTATTCTTCATTTTTAAACATGTGCTATTTTTGTATTTTTTATATTAATTATTTTTGTTCCTCAATTGTAATTATTAATGCCATCTAAATGTGTTTAGATCTTTCATGACTAGATAAAAATTTTATCACATTGAATCTCTAATGTTTTGAATATAAAAATTGTCAAATTGACTTTGTTGTTAATACAATTATAATTCATTTTGATTGATTAGGACTCAAACCCTAAAGATAAAAATTGTTGAATTGATTTTATTGTTAAAAAGATAAATGGACTGTTGTCATTGTTTTGAACTTTGCCTAGACGATTGCATTATAATTGACTGTATTATAGTTTTCTTATAGTTTTAAGGTTTATTGTTTTAACAAGCATTTTTGTTACAACAAAAATACCAAAAAAAACTAACAAAAATACCAAAAGACACTTCAATGTCTCACAACAAAGATTTTAGCTTTTAAAATGTATAATGGGAATATAAGGCTTGCTTAATTTATTAAGCAATTAACGAACGATTCAAGGAATTCTATATTAACTTTTTTTCTTAAACATGTTGAACATAATTAATGTTTGCTATTCTATCAATCTTGACTTCAATCTAAATTTTTTTTTTTATGTATATTGTATATATCCTACAACTTGTAGTACTATATATTATAGACAAAAATTGTAAAGGGTCATATACATTAAAAAAATGTAAATTGATTTACTTTTTTAATACATTTGTATATATTATATATTTTTAAAGCATCAATATTTTTATTTCCTCAACTTAGTGCGAGTTGGACGCTAGTTTATATGATTATCACATGTTTATATAAAATTAATAAATAATTAATTTTTTAAAATATATCATAAATAAACACATATCAATCTTTTAAATGTACTTGTGAATTAAGTGGTTAATATTGAAAATCTTGAACCTCCTTTAAAATAAATAATAGATTGAATCTTGAAATGAAAAAAATTTAATAAAACTTAAAATGAACATTTAATCATTAAAATATACTATTACTTATAACATAATTAGTATACATAAAAAAAAAAAGTGCAATTTTGTTATTTAAAAATATTGCACATTTGATATATAATCTTTAAATGAATATTTTTGCTTTTATATCTAAATATTTATGTTTTTTTTTCTATTTTCAAAACAAAAATAAATAACAAAATTACAAATCAAATAAAACCTAAAATTTTTTAAAAAATGAAAAAGATTAATAATCAATTTGGAATGGCTATCAAGCTTGATTTTGAAAAGGCTTATGATAAACTCGAATGGAAATGTTTTTAGTACAATCTTGCAAAGATATGGTTTTCCCCATAGATGGATGGATTATATTAGGTATTGTGTTAGCAATGTCAAACATCGCAATCTTGTTAATCTTAAATTGTCCTCCCTTATCTGGCCTTATAAAGGATTAGGCAAGGGCATCGTTTATCTCAATTTCCTTTCATTTTATGTTTTGAAATCTTAGTAGGTGTTTAGCTTAGCTTATGGAAAAACTTATTTATTGAAAAATAGAAATTAGATGTTTGGTTCTTCAAATTTTAACTTATGTGAAAGTAAATTTGAGTTTTTAGGTGATGTTATAAATCAAAACTTTTAGAAGTGTTAATTGTAATAACAAGTATTCAATAAAAACTTTTTATATTCTCACTTTACTCTTCAATAATTCAAAAAATTATAAAGAAAATTAATTATTTTACATTATTTTTCTATTTTGTCCATTTTCCTATTAAATTCATTTGTTTTTTTATTATAATTAACAAAAATATCTCTTTCATTTTATTTATTTTTTTCCTAAAAATTTGTGATTTAATTTAATAAAATTGATTAATTAATTAATTATTTATTAAAAAATACAAAAATGCCATCAAATAATATTTTCAATATTTTGCAGCACTTCTAAACTAAATTTGTCAGATGCTATTCTAGCTTTTTTTTTTTTTTTTTTATAGTTTTTATACTCCTGTCCCCCCTTTTTTTTAGAATTTCCCAAAATTATGTCATTTTTTTAAACATTTAAAACTCTTTTTTTATATTTTAAAATTATTTTTATGATTTTTTTCTTTTTGACATTAAAAATCATGAAACTTTAATTTTATAAAAAAAAATTAAAAATTAAAATTAAATGTATTTAAATTAAAATTATTTTCTTAAATTCCATGAAAATTGATATATGACAAATATTTTGAAATGAAAGGAATAATATTTTTAGAATGAAACATTCTCTTAATAAGAATACTGTTTTTTTCAAACAGCTTAAGGCTTCATCCTCACCTTTTACAGCTTCTAGATTTTTCCCTTTTATCTTTTTTTATCATGATTGTTTTACCTTTCTTAAAGCTCCTCAATCAAATTGCAATAATTCACAATTCATTCTTAATCATCACTACCAACCATGCTTTTATTGACTATTTTCATTTGACATTTTCATAGAGCAAGAGATAAATATTTAGGTTTACCTATTATTTTAGGTAGAGTCAATAAACAAAACTTTGCTGATATTATGAATAAAGCTAAAAAAATCTTGGTATAATCACCTTCTTTCTTATGCAAGAAAAGTCACTCTTATCAATTCTATTTTATAAGTTATACTTGTTTATTACATGTCTATTTTCAAAATTTAATTAATTAATATCAAGAAATTACAACAACTGGATGCAAATTTCCTTTGGAATCACACTTCTAATTAGAAAAGAACACATCTAGTTAGTTGAGAGAGACTGTTACTTTTCCCAAATTTGTTGGAGGATTACGGATTAAAGATCTTCAATTTTTTCTTTGTAAAAAATAAAAAATAAAACTTTTCTATTAAACTTACCTTTGGATTTATTTTCAAACACATAACCTCAACTGTCCTTTTCTGCCTTAGAATAAAATTTAACAAATTGATTGCATGCCTACATGTTAATGGCGTTTTTAGGTGGAGATGAACTGATTAGTGAGCTAAGTTGGTGAGGAATTGTAGCAAGAAAAAACGGTTACATGATTGCTAGAATTTATTTTTTGAGATACATCGGACGCTCAAATTAGTTAAATGTTTTAAGAATTTTTGAAGGAAAAAAATAAGTTGCACAAAGTATGAAAGAAGATTTAAGATAAAACATTTAAAATGTGTACCTAATAATTTTTTTTTATCTTATATATGAGAGATAATAGGCGGTGACATGATTAAAGTCAGTGGTATAGTTGATGAAAATTTAATGTGTAGCTCAAGGAGGTTGCATGTGAATAAACATGGGTTGCATTTAATGATTTTAAATAAATTACGGATAAGTTGAAAATAAATTAATCTAAGATGACATACTTCTTGTTAGAAAATTTAAGAAAAACAAAAATAATAAAAAAGAAAAAATGTGGCTTTGAGGTCTGAAAAATATTATTTTAAAGGTAATTATGCTTAGAGGATACAACTAAGCTTTAAAAAACTTTCCAAATTAGAAGTATCAAAATTGATAGATAGAAAAACTATTTATAATAAATGAACAATCACAAAACAAATAAATTCAAAAAGTTATGATATTCTGTATAGTCATATTTTTTTATTTAAATAAATTTTATTTAAAACAATTATTTTATTTAGATATGTTTATTCGAACCATCATATTTTTTTTCTATTCAAATATATTTATTCAAAATAAAAATAATATTTTAGTAATATTTCAAAATATATAAATAATAGATTTAAAATTAAATTTATTTATTAAACAAGTTCAAGTATCTATTTTGACTTTAAAAATTGTCTGATCTATTAAAAATTTTTTAATAAACTTAAATGATTTAATTCACTTCAATAATTAACTCAATTATTTAAATAATATAAACAACATATTTTAAACTATATATAAATAATATTTTAATTTAATATGAGATACATCACATTTTAAATTATTAATACTAATGTAATATTACTGAGGATAATTGAATGAATTATCATTGTGAACGAAGAAGTTTTAATCGACGAGCAACTCAAAGACAAATTTGATGAGGAGTTTGGACATCAATTTTTTTCAATAATAACATGACAATAAATCGTGTATCGATTTTATCGAACGTGGAAGTTGAGCGTCTAGGCGTAACAGTACTACTCTTCTTTGTACTAGAAAGATTATTACTCATTCAAATCTATGCCAGCTTAATAAATCTTATGTTAATATGTTTTCCTATTGCCCCATTTTCAAACCTATTTTGTCTATTTGTTGAGTAGTTGGAATCCTCTGACTGGACATCTCACCCTTTCCTTAGGATATGGAGCAAAAACTCCTTTCCAAGCCTAGAGAACATATTCACCTATGCCATATACCACTATTTTCTCTTTCACTTCAAGATATCTTCACCATTTTCACTTCTTTTAGAAGAATGGTGCATCAACCCCATCCCCATCTGCAACCCATCTTTGGTGACTGTTTAATCCTCACTTCATCTTTTGTACAAGTGAAAGTGTATCTTTGCAAAAGTTGAACATTAAATCATTAACCATTTAATCTAGATTATCTGTAATGGAAATTTAACTCAAAAAATCAAAAGCTCCAAATATCTAATATTTTGCCAGTTTTTGTTTTCACTCAATTAAGAAACAAATCAACAGAAAAAGAAATGCGGTATTGTAATTTGTCTTGATATAAGTAGAAGAATCAAAATTGAACAGTGCTATATGGATCGATCCTTAAAAACTTTCCCCCACCGAAAAAATGAAAAAGATTGGAAAGTCAAAAAATATGGGTGAAGGAAAGCGAAGGCAGTACAGACCGGGAAGGGGTTGCTTGGACTCCGAATTGGAGTGTGAGTGTGGGATTGATGGGAGGCAACAATTATCCACAAGCTGACACGTGCTATTCTTTCTCTGTAGATTAAACTCAGCTGCCTTTAGATTCTTGTAAACCAAATGGCTCTCCTTTTGCCATCTCAGCATTTCGCCCTTCTACGCCCGAATTTCCCCCTCTTCAAAATTTTCTGAATTTTCCCAATAATCCAACAAATATCTAAGAATAATTAAAAATCTGTTTTTTCAGTTTTTCTGCCTCTTTGTTTTTCTCTCTGTTTCTGTTTTGAACACCCAAAAAGCAAAAGGACATTTTAAAAAGAAAAAAAATAAAATAAAGAAATTTGCATGCATCAATGGCTCAGCTACTCTCTCCTGTATGTACAGATGCTCTCAAACTCTATAACCCATCTTTAAATATGTGCAAAAGAAGCTCTTGTAAGGCCATGGCTAAAGCTGGAACTTCTTGGAGCTTGTTGGGTCATGGTGGTAAAAGGAGAGGTTGTGGCAGAGTCAAGGTTACAACAGGGGATTCTGCTTCCACTGATTCTCTTGCCGATGATTATTATGCCGTTCTTGGACTGGTAATGCTTTTCAAGTTTCATCTCACTTCTACTATTTATTTTATGATAAAATGTATGAAAAAGAAAAAATTGAAGTGTGAGTGCTGCAACTATTTGGATTGGTGTAGTTCATTTCTGTGATTTGGTGTAAACACAAAATCAGGCTGTCTTTTCTCAGCAATTTATATCTTCTGTCTACGCTATTAGTGTTCAAACTTTGGATTTGAGGTTGCTGCTTGTTTCCTTTATGAGAGTTAGTATAGGTTCTCGATGATATGGGCGTGTTAATGCCCTCAATGAACAACTCTTTTGGTAATTTCTTGACGTTCATTTTTATATTTGTAATTCTTGGTTGTTTGTTTCAAATTCATTGATTTGTTGGGAGTGAATCTGATGGTTAAAGTACTTGGTTAGAAGGAAGGATTAACATTAATGGATAGTGATAAAAGTTTTATGTTTGTAATTGATCTAGCTGAATGGATATTCATCATAGCTATTTGGAATCTTCTGTACGATATATATTTATCTAGTCAAGGTAATTAGTCTGTTATATGATTCACTAATCTAATTTTGATTAGCCTGTTTTCTTAGCTTCCGTATGCCACACCAGAGGAGATAAAAAAGGCGTATTATAATTGCATGAAGGCTTGCCATCCAGACTTGAGTGGCAATGATCCAGAGACTACAAATTTCTGCATGTTCATTAATGAGGTCTATGGGGTGTGTTACCATTTAGAACAAACTTATGTATAATATAAATATTTATCTATCCACTGCTATAATAGGACTATCTCAGTGCAGATTCTCAGTGACCCTGTACAGCGCATGGTTTATGATGAAATTCATGGGTATGCATTGACTGCAATCAATCCTTTCATGGATGATTCCGCCCCAAAGGATCATGTATTTGTTGATGAGTTTAGTTGCATAGGTACGAGTTTGCACTGCTAGGTTTTATTTGGTCGACATTCTTAATCAGTTCTTTGTTAATGATTATTAGTTTATAGCCCAAGTGTCTTAGATCACCCCCTGGTACATAGAATGATCATGATCTCCCTTAAATTTCTGAGTTGCATCTAAAAATTTTGGCCTTTCCAAATGGTTATTGATAATACATAAAGAATTGGAGATTCATTATTTAATGTACCAAATTTTGGTCAACTTTTATTGAGGTATATCTTGCTTAGTTACAACCTGAATAGAGGTCACCATAATATGAGCAGATGTGCTGTTCAGATACTGTTTGATAAAATTCCACTTTAATTTTGATATATTTTTTTTAAATCTCTATATGGAAACTAAAACTGTAGCTGAATACATACTACTTGCTAATTTTCATCTCTGCAGGCTGCAAAAATTGTGCCAATGTGGCCTCAGATGTGTTTAGCATTGAGGAAGACTTTGGACGAGCCAGAGTACATAGTCAATGTGGGAATCCTGAATTAGTTCAACAAGCCATAGACAGTTGGTAGGTTTTATTTTCTTCTGGGTATATATCATCATTAGATCATAATAATGCTAAATCATCCATTTTCTGTTAAGTACGCTGAATATCATCACATGGATTGCACCTAAAAGAAAATTAGTTACATGGAAATGCTCTTTGCTTTTATTCCCTTCAGCTTTATCTTGTTGGTGACTTCTGTTATATCTTATCAGTGGTACCATTCTTAACTTGCATAGTAGCTGTCAAGTGGATACACTTTTTTTGTTGACTTTACTAACAATTTATCCTGCTCCTTCTTTTTTATTGATCTTATAAGTAGGCAAATGGCTAGCTTAGCAAGAGAAACTTTTTTGTAGTTCGATGTTCATATGAAGAATAAAGAAAATAGTTGAAGTCATGCTAGAGGTTATGAACAACACAAAGCCTCCACCCTGAAATTTGATATAATTACATGGGAATCCTTGTGAAGCTTTGCATTAGGAAATTTCAGACCTCAGCTTGAAATTTTGTCTGAATTATTACATTGTTTCCATAAATTTTAACATATCAGATATGCAAAGGAAGAAATTTTGGAAAGATAAAGTTTCAAACTATGATTTCTGCTTCTGTTCTACTTCCTTTTCTGTTATGGTGGATGAGAACATTTCCTCTCATTGATTAAATCAGTAATGTATTCTGCCATAAATCTTTCTAGTCCTGGTCAACGTAGTCTCACAGTCATATAAGTAGTGCTCAGCTTTAGTTTAACATGGTTAAATACAATCAATTATGATAGCAATTAATTAAAACATTTCTGTAATACTAAAATTTGACTCAGCATTGTTTCAGGAAAACTGTTAGCTATTTGTAGCAGAACAGATCTTGATATTATATATTGCTTGTAGTAAAGTTGAAGGGATTACATGATTGCTGATCAACATTGTCTTGTGTCATTCAGCCCAGTTGATTGCATTCATTGGACTTCTGCAGCACAATTATCCTTGCTTGAAGATGAAATGCGCAGAGTAGAAAGAATGAATGTAAGAAACGCAATTTCTCTATGGTTCTTTTCTCCAAGTTCATATTATGAAAAATCAACCTTGATAAGAAATAAGCATGTTGAACTGCTTAGCCTTCTTAAAATCCGTTAAATAGTTTCTGGGTTTAGAAATCTTAATTAGGAGATTATTGATCAAATATTAGTCGAATTGATCAATGATGGTTTTAAGCATTGAGTTTATGGAAGGATTTTTTTTTTTTTGGGGGGGGAAGGGGGGAATTGGGCATGGTTTCTGTTTCTCTTATTCCCACTTTTCTAGTGTTCTTGCTTCTCTTCTCTCAACATCCAAGCCAGTTGCATCTATTAAATTTTTTATTTAAACTTAAACTAAGTATCTGAAATGCAAATTGAGTTTCCTAAATTCTTTCATGTTAGAAAATCATACTATTTATTGGCTATGTCTTGGTCAAGACTAAAAGAGGAAAGAATCCTTCTTGACAATAAGCAGGGGTAGGGGACAAGAAAAAAGAGTTAAGGAAAGCTAACATTTTCCTATTCATTCTGAAACAAGTGTAATTATGTGATGAAACCAATGGTTGCTGCAATGGAAATTTAAGTATCCCCTTAATCTTTGAATTTGATTGAATGGTTTTTCACATCATGTTATATGAACTTCACCATAATGTCAAACACATGCCCCTTTTTGTTGGTAAATTTACCTTTTTTTAATTTATATTGTTAAATGTGCCAACATTTTTCACAGCGAAACAAAAATAAAATGTGTCTAGTCTTTCAGTGATACATTCGTTAATCTATTATGGCTTGTTGCTTTGATTGCTAAAACTTTGGCCTTTTGGAATGGATAATCAGGTTGCATTGATGCTTTCAGGAATGGGGTCTGCATCAGCGGATGTATTCAGAATGGTAAAAGTGCTACTTAAATTTTTGGGTGATACCTCCCCTGGTTTAATGCTTTCTTAGACAATTAATCTCAAATTGTTTGGCAGGCAAATTCTCGATGGGAAAAGAGGCAGGCAAAAGTTTTGGTAGGAATTCTTATCATTTGAATATTCTCATTGGCCATTAAATTTTTTATTTTTTATTTATATTAACTTTAATTTAAAAGCAGGTCACCAAAAAATTTCACTCCAAGATATGAACTATGATGACGGTGAATGTAGATTTAATTACCTGTATATTAGGACCAAATCTAGTTGCTACCATGCTTTTAGAGTGAAGGGCTTCAAGAGACGCTGGAGATTCTATATAAATTAATATCTGTATTAAAGGCTAGATGAACAGAGACTGGAACTTTTTTTTTCTCATCCCTTTTTCAGGAACAAGCTAAAATAAGGATGATGCGGCAGAATGATTCTGGTAAAACCGACTCATACTGGAGCAACATTTGGGGGAAGCCAAAAGAATACAAGAAATCAGGTGAGAGGAATTTGATAATTGCTAATAAGTTGTTGTGGTCAAGTCATTTTTTGCCTAGATTCTTGTTGATTGTTGTTATTTTTTACTGTTGCTTTAACTTAAGATTTATTGATGCTTCTGCGAACAAATTTCAGAATCTCTGACGTTTTTGGAGTTTGTTTTATATATATGTTATAAGAATAACCCGATGTTTTTACTGCTTGCTGGGACCAGAATTTGACCTTTTTTCCAGAAGTTTATGGGTATCTTTCCATTTTATTTTGACAACTTATCCATTAGTTATCATACTGTTTCTTTAACCAAACAAAAGGGCATTATCTAAGAACGTAAAAGACACTCTAATTACAAGTTTATTAAATTGAAGTTTATGGAGGTAAGTGGGACAGCCATTGAAGCTTTCTGTTCCATTTCAGTGTTTATCCGGGCCAATTAAAACGGTGCACTTAGATTAATAAGTCAATAGCACTAACTCATGATTTCCATTGGAACTAGTTTTTGCATAATTTTGGATTCATTCAATAATATTCTGGTGTTATAGGTAGTGTTCTCTGTCTATGCCAGTTGATACATCAAAAACGTCTTGCAGATCCTTTCTTATTGTCTCCAAGATGCCTTTGTATTTGATGATTCTTGGGCAAGCAGGACTTTGGCTTATTGAATATGATGATTGCTGGTGATATATTCAGGATAAGAAATTTAGGAATGTATAGTAGGTGACAACAAGACATAATGTATAGTAGGTGACAACAAGACATGCAAAATTAATTCAATGCTTAACTTAGTTAGTTCATGCGGCCACTCTTAAGAGGTAGCATTCAACAAGTTTAGAATTCAAATCCTAACTCCTGCAACTCTTTCTCTTATCCCTAGATTGCGGCTTTCTTTGTACAAAAAAAAAAAAAAAACCTATTTTTGTAACCCTAATTTGCAGTAGATTATTTCCAAGTGTTATCCTGTCACAAGTTTTATGTTTAACTGATTGCTGAACATTTCTTCTACATTAATTCCAAATGCAAATTTTATGTATAACCTAAGCTGATTGGAGCTGAACAGTTGTCAGTAGAAATTAGCAGTAATGGAGAATGGAAGTGACTTTATTATTGCAGTTTTTACTAACTTTTATTTTGCATTTTGTAATTAATGCATGCTAAATCAGGTGTGCAGTATAATCTGATTATGTGAGAAATGATGCCTTAGGGTGAAATTAAGTTAAATGAAGGTGATTTGTTGTTGCAGAGGAGGAAGTGGAAGAGAAAGCAGGAAGGGCTGCAGCAGCTGCGCGAAGATGGAGGGAATATTCAAGGAGGGGTGTGGATAAGCCTCCCACCTTTAAACTTCCGGAGGCAGTCTCCAACAGAGAAAATTCGATTGACCACTACTAATTATTTGCCATTTATATTCTTAAAATCAAAATCAAATGCAATCACTTTGTCTACATGCAGGGGGTTTCCATTGAATTTATTCCTAGTCTCATGTACAACAAATCCATATGAATCTTTTCACTGTGTATATCAACATTAATTAATCTACACTGCAAGAGACCAATAAATGAGAAAAAAGATGTATGCAATGAGTTGTAAGCTTCTTCCTTGCTCTAATATATATATATATATATATATATATATATTGCACTAGGAAGATAGTTGTGATCCGGGCATAGGGGGATTGCAGTTGCTAGGGCGTGAGTGGCTAACCGAATGCCATCTGTCCACGGTGTGGATTCGGGGTTTTTAGCCGAGTTAGCTTATATTTAGGTGGGACGAGTTTTGGGTCTTCTCGTAACGGGGGTGGCTACGTTGAGAAAGATAATAGATGAAAATTTTTAGATAAAGTTTGTAAAATATTTTATTAAAAATTATTAAATAAAAAATTAAAATTGATAAATTTAAAGTTTAATTATATTAATTATGTAAGTTTTAAAAATATTTTAATAAATTTTGATATATATTTTTAATAAAAATTTTAATAGAATTTTTACTATAAAATAAATATCAATTAAATTTAAATTATGATTGATATTTTTAACAATTTTTTATATATTATTGATTTTTACATTTAGCTCTATTAATTTATTAATTTAGATTTTTTAAAAGTATTTATTTAATTAAATTTTCTAAAAAATTTTATAAAATTTACCTAAAAATTTTTCTCTAAATTTTGTCCGGTATATGTGGTTCTTTTATGTTTTCATTTAGTAAGGATAAAATTGAAAGTTTTAATTTTGGATTGAGTTGTTTATGTTTGTTAGATATCCGGCTTTATTTTTTTTGCTTTTGTTGGATCACAACATTTAGTGTTTGTGGGCCAATCTTGTGTTAATTTGGATTATGGGCTTTCTGTTTGTTTAATATCCATTTTTTTTTATCATCTCACAACATTGTTATTTACTTGATGATGCAAAAGAATAGAAAATTTTTGTTCGATAAAAACAAAGTAAGAAAATTTTTTATTAATTTAATTATTAAAATTTATAATTATTTTTTTTTAATTTGTAACTTAACTATTAAATTAACAAATTATTTATTCTTATCTCTTTTCATTATTTTTATCGGACAAAACTTAAATGTGATTCTTAAAAGGTGATCAGTGAGTTTATTAAATTAAAAAAAATAAAAATACTTCAGATGTTGAAAATTATTTAGGTTTCAGATAAAAATATGATAACAGGTCAAGTCAGGTTTTTGTGTCCCGACTTTTTAGTTTCACATCCATGATCAAGGTTTTAACTTGTAAATCCCGACTTCAATCCGTTAAGGAAGAAGCCCATCCAACTCTTACCTGCCTAAACCCAAATTCAATTTTGAATAATGTAAAAGCAGGTACAAGTTCATTCAAGCAATAAAAAAAAAAAAAAAACTTGCGCAAATACATTTAAAGTTGAGAATGATGCAAATGATTAAAACACAACATTGATTTAATATAATTGTTAGCATATAAGAAGTTGTTAAAAACAAATATATTTTTAATTTTTAATTATTTAAAATATTAAAGTATTTATTTATGCTTCCAAACAAACATTTCTAAGAATATAACACTACTTGTATACTTAAATTCATTTAGATAGCCAACAGAATTATTATGACGAGATTAAAAATAATAATAATAATTATTATAATTATTATAAAAAAATTATTATAAATGTAATTGAAAAGAATAATAAAAAATTTATATTAATTTGATTTCATTAAAATTAAAATTAGTATTTGAATTCATTGACAACACCATAAAATCTACCGGTACTTAATAGAATATGCCAATTGAATAACTATCATGCCAATTGAATAACTATCAATTTGTCTAAAAGAGTAAACGCGTTTTTCCTTCTCTGACAATAGCTTTCGTCCACCAGAACATGAAAAGATTATCTTCAATTCTTTTTCTGAACAAATAAATAAAGCTTCAGCATAAATTACAACTCAACGAAAACGTTTCTTGTTTATCAATTGAGATCAGGACTTGATAACCGGAGGAATAGATACCTTAGCAAGAAGTGTGGAATGGGCAATTTTTGAACTCATAAAAAGGCAAACGAAGAGTTGGACAAAGTCATTGGTAAAGAGAAATGGGTAGAAAAGAGAGACATCCGCAACTTAACGGGACTAATCCTTAGCAGTAATCACTTCGAGTGTGCTTATTAGGACCAATCCTTAGCAGCAATCACCGAGAAGGGACACCGATGCACTATTGGTTAGATGGGCTTGGGAGAGAGGACGAGGACATCTCTTGGCTTCGGTTAGGATCAGAAGAATGAGAGAGAAGAAGCAAAAACGCAAAATAAGAAAAAATAGAGAGATTGAGAAAGGGACACACAGGATGAAAGAAGATAAATGAATACCGAAGAAACAGCAGAATAGAAAACAAAGGTGAAGCGTATATATATATAAATGCATTTGTTTTGAAAGAATTAATAATTTTCTTTTTTTGAAAATTTGCTGGTAGGTATTTGGTTTTCACATTTTAATTCAAAATAATCAGATTATAAAAAAAATATAAGATTCTTAATAATATCCAAAGTGCCAAAATCAGAAAATCATCTCTTCTTATAATATTTTAAGATTTCGCAGGAGGAAAAAATTGTCTTATTTTCAAATTTGATTTGAATAAAAAATTTATCGTATATCCGTTATCTTTTTGAAAAGCAAGTATAAAATTCAGTTTTAGCTTTTTTTTTTTTTAATTTGCCTTATTTTTAATTTAATTTTAATATATGGCAATTAAGATGTTTCAAGAAAAAAACGTCTTAATTGATAATTTTTACAATTAAAGAGTTTCCTTTGAATAAATGACTTATTTGATGCTTTTCTCAAAATTTTTGCAAAAGTATCAAATAAGGCATTTTTTTTTTTAACAAATGCCTTATTTGACTCATTCAAAGAAAGCATATCTTTTTTACAAATGTCTTATTTGATATTTTTTCTAAAATCTTTACAAAAGTATCAAATAAGACGTTTCTTTGAACAAACTCCTTATTTGACCTATTCAAATAAGGTATTTTTTTGAACAAAATGCTTTATTTGATGTTTTTTCCAACATATTTACAAAGCCCATTCAAATAAGGCATTTTCTTTTTGCAAACGGCTTATTTGATAAAAACACCTTATTTGATAGATGATTTTCTAGAATTTTTACAAATTTAAATAAGCCATTTCCTTTGAACAAATGCCTTATTTGATATTTTTTTCAACATATTTACAAAAGCAAATAAGACGTTTAGCTCTTTCAAACACCATAATTAATTTTTTTAATATTTTAATACAGTAATTATGGCTTGAAGTTTAGTTAAACGCTGTAGTTAGGTATATTTAATTAAAAAAATTAAAATCTTTGTTTTCTTTTACTACTTAAACATTGTTTGTCATTTGTTTGGGTATTTTTTATTAAGACAATGAAAGATTGCCTATAGTTTGTCAAGGAGATTATGATAATTATACATAAATTAATAAACCAAGATTCCCCTAAACCAAACAAGTGAATTTGATTACGGGATGCTCTGAAAATCAAATTAAACCTCAAGTATCAAACTTTCCTGCATATCACACTTTCCCTCAAAACCTAAAATTTCATGAACCAAATGCAATGCCCCCATAATAGTATTTTTGTAATTATCTTGGGTTGGATTGCATCCAATTTTATCTAAACTTGACTCTAAACCAACTTCAAACAATTTTTAAAAAAATTGATCTAACTCGATTTGAACAAGATTTTCAAAAAAAAAAAAAAATCAAATTGAGTCAAGTTGAAACCCATTAATTTTGAGTTGAACTTCATCCCTAATTCAGGACAATAAATGCAACTTAGAGTTTAATTAAAGAATAAGATTAAGGGCATTAACATTGACCACTATAAAACATTTTATGAAAATTGGGAGAAAATATTTTATTGATAATCAACTCAAGATAATTCAACCTAATATTATTTTTATACTTTTATCTTGGTGACACATGGTGTTTTAAAAATTTTTAATTAATGTTTTTATTTTTTATTTTAAATTACATGTATCTATTTATTCATGAAATTAAGCATTCATGAATTAAATTACTTGTGAATAAATATATTTCTTGTTTTATATCATTTAAATTTTGAGTTTAAATTCATATTCTACTATATTTAATTTTTCATGAAGTTAGCCATTCATGAATATATGGTATCAATAAACCTAATTAACTATATAGGGATGAATGTACTTTTGACTATTCATGAACTTAGATATTCATGAATTTATAATACTCATGAACTCAATTAATTGAGGATAGATATACTATGCATTTCGTGCCATCAAAATTATGAATCTAAATTCATATCCATTATTAAGTAATCATGAATCAAATCCAAATGGAATAAACTATCAACTATTCACAAACATAATCATTAATGAATCTATGATATCCATGAACCTAATTATTTGTAGATGAATGTACATAGTGTTTAACATAATTTAAAGTTAATATATTTATTAAATAGTATAAATATTTGTTAGCTTTGAATTAATCCTTATTTTGATATGACAAAATATTAAATTAAATAAACTTGATTAAGATTTAAAGAAAAGATTTATTTAATACATATTCTCAGGTTTTATTGTTTTTAGTACTAAATAAATACTAATGATATTTGAAATGAAAAATATTTTGGAAAAAAGGTATTAGATTTTGAAAAGATTTATTTAGTACATGATTTTATGACATATTATTTTTGGTACTAAATAAAGATTATGTCTTCCAAAATATTATTAGATTTGAAAATTTTTTTATAAAGCTTAAACTTTTTTTTTTTATATTTTTGTATTTCTCAAACCAAAACTATTTTTAGAGATTATTTATTTGAGTTTAAATGAAAGTTCAATTGTTGTTTTTAAGTGTACTTATTCATATTGGACTCATTACAATTTTGATAATATTGGTTTTGAGAAATAGATTAACTAGAGAAATATATTTTGTAAGAATAAGGCTTTCCAACATTGAATTGGTTTTATTTTTTTGTATTAATTTACAAAGGTTTAACATTTGAATTTTATATGGATGGAATCTTTTGAACCAAATTTCTAATGGATCAAACAAAATC